CCCCCTACCCCCAGGCCCCTCTCAAGCTCATGCTCCTCCTCCTCTTCTTCGATCTTTGGTTCTCCGCTTTCAGATGGAGCATGAGCTGCTCATGGTGGATTCTTCACTTCCACACTGTGACTTAAGTTTCTCCTTCTGCTGTTTTGCAGGAGCATATCAGGCAGACACATTTCCAACTCAGGTTTTTTTTACCTCTCGTGTCCTATTCCAGCACAGTTGATTTGATCTTTGAAGCTGATGTTCTCGTAATCTATCCAGTCATCCAATTCTGCTTCGCGGTTTTGCACATTTTTCGGCGCAGATTTCGGCACGACGAGAGATTGCGCAGACAGCTGACGCCTTGTTTTCTTTTTAACTTGATTTGGCGGTTGATAACAATTTCGAAACTCGTGCCAACCACATTTGCAGTTAAACAGCGACGAATTCGTTTTTTATCCTCATCATATTACCACTTTATCTTTGGAGAATATCGTTTACCCTCGTCACAGTTGATGTAGTTGTCCAACTGATTTTACACTTATACCTTATGGACTGAATTGAACAGCAAGAACTGTATTCCCATGAAATTACATCTTTATCCTTGTGAACTTGCATCGGTTGTTGTTCTTTAATGACAATCTTGTAAAATGTTCATTGATAGACTTCAGCACGCAGAGCGAAGTGAAACCCATTTCTCTGTTGTTAGCATTGTTATTCACGTTAGCATTCTGAGTCCGCGAATGGCTGTAACTTTCATCTATGTGGAGTATTTACTGTAAGGATTAGATGGAGGCTTCAGGTCTCCAGGGTCTCACTTCACTTTGACCACAGGCCACATTGCAGTTGCGGGGAAGTTAAGACGTTTCTCTACACCAATACAAGTGATTGATGTCCTGTGGGCAGTTTAATTGCATCCATCCGCAAGGTTGTGTTTTACCACAAGTGTCAGGTTTTATTTGGGCACTTGTCTGAGAAACATAGTATTATGTGGGCATTTGTAGAGGTATGTGTTGTCAGTCTGAGGGTTGTTTTAAGTATTTTCTGACGTGTGCCTTGGGACCAGGGGCTTTCAGCTGAACTACAGTTGGAGCTACGGCCTTCAGCTAATCTGTAGCCGGAGCCAGTCAGTGGTTCTGACCCTAACCTGATTGGCAAGAGCTAGGGTCGTTTGCATTGGGGACAATTTCATATTTTTAATTGTTTCGCCTTGGCTAGGGCGGCAGGGTGGGGGACTCGTTCGCACATGGCCTCACAGTGCAGAGGTGCAGGGCTTGATTCTTCCTGTGTTCTTAAAAATCGGAATTTTTTTTGGACCGAGCTCTCAACCGAACATAAGAGAATAGCATCCAAATCAAATGACACCATCTTGTATTCACCTGTTATGGTTTCATGTTTTGTTTCGTGGAGACGAAGACAGCCGATTCTAATCGGAGCACACAATGCTTCTGCATGCAAAATACTGCTTCCGTAACATTTTTCTGAGTGCGCACAACTTCTTTCGACCCCCTCCCCACACAAAACTCTCCGGACTTGAGCGAACCTTTGACGAGCAAGCTTCGTTGAAGGACTCACGCTTAAATCATTCGATGCAGAAATCCGCGGGGCGAGTTTATGTTTCGCAGTGGGCGACGAGGAGCGCGGACACGTTTTGACAGATTCCTCAGCAGAGTTTACAGCGGGGGGGGGGGGGGCGTTCACCAGTAAGTGTCAAACTAGCTGCTCGCGTCAAGCCGCCACAGCGACATTGTGGTCGACCGGAAGCTCTCTAATATAAAATAAAAGCAATATTTACTGGTGTTCAGAGAGAGATAGACCGACACTTGGCATTTGGTAAGACGTGTCGCTTTTCTGCATTTACACAGCTGAAGAGTCGATTTATGTGCCGTTTTAAACACGGTGTCGAGACTTGGGGCGGCGCCGCTGACGTTTATTTTATTTTTTCGTATGCTCTGACACTGCGCTAGCGGAAGTGCTTTTTTGTGTTTCCGACTTTGACGTTTCCGACTGTCCGCCCTGCCTACCCGGAGTTCGCGGCAGAATGCAGCCGCTCTCCACTGTTGCTCTTATATAACTTAAACGTGCGTGTCAAGCTCGTAGGCCACTTTATGGGGGACTTTTAGAGGAACCGTTGGGCTCGCCTTTGGATTTCTTTTCCTCCCACCCCCTGCTTCTACGAGAAAAGTCGAGCGAGGTATTTCTGGCTTCGGATCGCTTCGACCTTGTTTACTTTAGTTACCAAATAGTTGCTGCCAAACGGGGAATATTTGCTCGAGATTTAAGGAGGAGCGTTGTCTTTTTCATCATTATTTTTGCTGTGTCACCTGCGTGGAATGTCTTTTATTCCACGGCTCCCCCGCGCCGACTTTGCGTCACTCCTCGTTGTCTCTCATTGAGTTTTGACAGGACATGACCTAAAACGGAGGTCTGCATCCCTCTCCAAACCAGCAGGTAAGCGCCACTCTCTGGGCTGCAACTCCGCATCTGACCGCCTTTCAAAGTAAAAAATAAATAAATAAAAAATGGTGTCACCTTACAATGTTGCCTTTGGTTAAAAAGCAATAGTGTGATTGGTGCAGTGGAGCCGAGCAGCCAACAGGTTGCACTAATGTTGCGTAGCAATGCAATGCAACGAAAGCGTAGAAAACCCACCAGTTCCTATTTAAACATTCCCATCTGTTACGTACTTCTGCAAAACGCATTGCAACATAGGTGGTAAAAGTAAACCAGCCATTTACAAGCTGAAAAAACGTATCCAATCTGAAGGGTCGCATGCCCCAAGCAGATCTGGAGAAGCTTATCCATGCTTTTAGCTCCAGTACTGATTACTATAATGGGCTTCTGACAGGACTCCTTCAAAAGAGCATCAAAACAGCTGCAGCTCAATCAGAATGCTGCAGCTCAGGTTCTGATCAGAACAAAAAGATTAAAACATATTACTCCAGTTCTAAATGCTTTAAACTGGCTCCCAGTCAGCTGTAGAATAGATTTTAAAATTCTCCTATTGGTCTATAAATCACTGAATGGTTTGGGTTCTGAATACATGAAGGAAATGCGAATTGAATATAAACCCAGAAGAGCTCTGAGCTCTGCAGACTTCGGTCAATAGGGAGCACGGGTTTCAAAGTAAACATGCTGAAGCGCCAAGTGTCAATTCTCTTAAATCCAGATGATAAACTGCTTTTCCGACCCATACTTTTTATGAAGGTCTTTTAAGCATTTAAAATCAGTTTCACTGTCAGCAATTAAGAAAGCTACCTTTTATTCCTTTACTTGCTTTTAATTACCTTGAAACATTTTGTTTGTGACTTCGAAGCTTTGTTCTATTTGCTTTGTCTTTGAATGTCCACGGCTGTTTCTTTGGGACTGCTTTTAGTTGTTGTGCTTTTGGATGTGTGAAGCACTTGGCTAGTGGTCCAAACTACTGTTTACTCTGCTTGGATGCAATATGAAGGACACTTAATCATATCCATACATCAGTTTTGTATAGCGCTTGTCCTCTTTAAAGTCCCAACTGACTTCTGGTGAGAGGGAGGGTATACCCTGGACTGGTTAGCAGCCAGTTAGCAGCCAATCACAGGGCCCATGAGACCAAAAAAAAACAAAAAAAAACCAACCCAAACACATTAACACCGATGGATAATATATAGTCTTAAATTAACGTGAGAAACATGTTTTCAGAATGTCTGAGGAAGATTCAAATCCACAACCTCGGGCTGTGTGGCAGACACAGATAACATCCAGATACCACTGTGCCGCCCGAATGTGATCACTTGATCTATTTTCCACATCAGTTTTCCTCATTAGGGTTGGATGAGCTGGAGCTACATGACAGCTTTGTCGAAATATTCGGAAAACACAGCGATGTTACCCTTTATGTCTCTGTGAATATTTTGACTGAAGGATCATTATCAGGCTCCTGCAGAGCTTACTATTGACCTGATCATTTGAATCAGGTTTGGTACAGCAGGGATAGATGGAAAACATGCAGGAAAGTGGCCCCCGAGGACCCGAGTTTGAGACACCTCTAGTAGGTCATGCAACCCCCTGCCATGAATTTAACCCAGATGCTTAATGTATAACAATCGGAAGTTTTGAGTCACAGCAAAAATGCAAATAATATTTCATACTTTTAGGGGGTGTTATTTGACAATATTTTGGCTATTCCGGTTGGAGTGCAGTGATATAGAAATGCTCTTCCTCATCCTGAGAGGTTTAAGGAAACATCTCAATATGATGCATTACATGGCCACTGAACTGAAAAGCACACTAACAAGCATACCAAGTAACTAAACTGAATAAGGAGTAGGTATCAGTTCTCAAATGTAAACGATAAAACTCATCATAAAACTAAATGCTCATACTCAATATTTGTACTTCATTACTTCCCACCACTGTTTGTTGTGAAAAATGCCCGTCTCACCTCTCCTGGCAAATTTTAACATCAACAATCACAAGATGTGGGCGTACAAAAGGAAGTGCAGATAAACCGCTGCTTTTCACACATTGCACACCTCCAAATCACAACTAAGTTGCTCCAATGAGCCTTCGAGTGCGTCCATATTATATTTGCCGTCACATTGACAGCCACCACCTGTTAGCAATCCATACTGTATTGTAATGGTTTGTCATTTACAGCAGTGTTTCCTTAACTTTTACCAAGCCAATGAACCAATTTTAAATGACAGTATTTTCTGTTTACATCACCAAACGGAAATGTTACAAAATCAAGAACAGGGTAACAATAATCTATGACTATAACACAGCCTGGAAATGAATGTTTGCGACTAGCTACGAGTGTTAGCATGTCTATTCCAGACTCAGTCTCGTGGCAGATAACCGGCTAGCTTGCTCGCTGGCATGGATAAACTTAGTTCGTTTCTGCACTGAAGTAACTTCATAAAAGGGAAAAGAGCTGAGAAGTAGCTATTCCTCAAATTCAATTGTAAAAAAAAAAACCAAAATAAAAATAAAAAAATCAAAGTAGCATTACTGTATTACTGTAATGTTGTCTTGAAATGAACGTTTGCGACTAGCTACAAAAGTTGACTTGTCGACTATTAGTGAAATATGCTGTTAACCTGGTAACTAGCATGGCTAACGTCAGTTTGTTTCTGCTCTGTAGTTACTTCACAAAACAGAAAACAACTTAGAAGCATCTACTTTTGTTTTTTTTAAAGAAATATAAGTACTTTTTGGATTTTATTTAGAAAAAAATATTTTGTTTATTGAAGGAGTTTTTCAATAGAAAGGGTTGATTATCGTAATCTTTCACAATAATGCATTTTGGAGCTGTAATTGCAATGCGGTGATAGCGTGAAACCACAATAGTTTTGCTCAGGGTTATCACACGATCAAAATGTGACACCGGCCCATGCCTACTGCCACCGAACTATTTATCCCGTGCGATTGTGGTTTCTCTATTTCTTCTCAATGTGCACTTTTCCTGCAAGTGGAGACAGCCACCGTGTGTTCAAAGGCCCAGGAGACCCTCGCCTGTGTGGGTTAACACGTGTCGAATGCCGAACACGTGGTCACTCTGTCCGCGGCACCAAAACATAAGTTCATGCACAGGGGTAGGAGTGTGAGGGAGGGGCGTTCCCTTCAAAAGCATAACATTAGCACATGATCAGTTACCTACTGTATGTTGTGCGAGCTGAAGTCATTTGATTTTCTGTCCGTCATTATTTCTTGTTTTAAATCAGGTCACATTGGTGTGTGTCATTTGTGAATCTGCCATGTTGTTCCAGCGTGGGCGTAAAGGCAGGAAATGGCCTCTTTGGTGCTATTGACATTTCGTCAATACGAGGCACATGTGAAGTAGGAGCCCTCGCGTGCGCAGTTAGTGCTCATTTCACCAAATCCTCTGTCGACTAAAATAGATTTTAAATTTTAGTTTATTACATGAATTGTCAGGGCAGCACAGTGGTCTACTGGTGTTCACGTCTGCCTCACAGTTCTGTGGTTTGGGGTTTTGGGTTTGAATCTTAGTTCAGACCTTCTCGGGTTTCCTACCACATACTGAAAACATCCATATCTGGTTTATTGAAGACTTTATGTTGTCTATAGTTGCCCTCCTCATGGGTGTAAATGAGAACAAGTGCTGTAGAGAATGAATGGATGGATGGATAAATGGACATTTTAATTTATGCTACCCGTATCATTTTCCAGTTAGGGTACCCATATGAAGAGTTTGTAAATGGTTGATAAATTGCTTCTTAATTTATTTGTCATTGCTTTGTAAAGGCAACATACATTCCGCAATCATGTCATCTGATATCAGATTAAAATAGCAGTGACTGTACCTTAAATTTACCTAATAGCGAGCCAACATGAAGTTTGCTGTGTCCATGTGTGCGACTGTTACATCACAGTTTATGCAATGTTTACATCATCATTAAATCCATTAACTATTTGTAAAATATTTAGGAAGCCTTGATGCATAAGGCGGTATGGTTATACTGTACTATATGCATTTCAATCAATAAGGCGGTACAGTTCCACTATATGCATTTCAATCAGTTAGCATTATTGTTTTAATCAATCTGTTATTGTTTTATTATACACATAGGAAAACACCATTCTAAAAGCCATTTCTACCTCATGTCTGTATTAAAGTATATTCTTTATCCTCTGGAAAGATCCACTGATACATTACTGCATCTCACAGTCACTTTGTTGTGCAACTCTTCTTTGCATATCATGTACACCTGCATTGTACAGCCCCCCGGTAGCCACGATGCACACACCAGACAAACAATATTTTTTTTAATTATTCACATTCTATTTGATTGTCATTACTGTATGTTGACTGCAAGTACAAGTAGCGATTTGTTCGACTAAAACCACATGACACACACGTGTGCGAATGTGGGCATTCTGAGCAAGCTAATTCCTGTTTTCATTAGCTGATTGTGAAGTTGGCCTTCCTTAGACATGACACTATCATTTTACCCTCAATTGATTCAAGACGCAAATAATCAACAATTGACAGAATTCTGACTATTTATTGGATCCACTAAATGGTGATTGTTTTGTCTCTCTCTCTCTTTCTCTCTCTCTCTCTGTGTCTGTGTGCTGGGAATAATGACCCCCATTGCCGTGTCAAGATAACAAAATGGACCAGGGCATCTTGAAGTGCAACAGTAATCGAGACGACTCCCTGACATTCATAGAGTTGGGAACCGGAGAATGCAAAGAGGCAGCTGACGCCACTGGTTCCCTGCTCTCCGCGCTCCACCCCATTTCCCCAAATGGGGGAGGAACCAAAGACCAGCTGGAGCCCGGAAGCCTCCTCGACTCCCACCAGCAGCGTCAGGCCCTGTTCGAAGGGTCGAACACAAATGATCAGAAAATGGTCAGAATAGAGAAACGGCAGCAGGATGTCGGTGTGTTTAACATTGAGGAGGATTTGGCACTGCTGAGCCAAAATATTGCCGATCTGGACAACGTGTCCTCGTCTGTCATCAACACCTCCGTCCTGGGAAACCTTCCTCTTCCTGACCTTTTCCCCCAGCACATCAAACAGGAAGTAGACTTCTCCCTGGATAAAGAATTGGGATCTTACGGAGGACTTCCCTCCGCAACTTCCTGTGATTTGACAGGCGGCACTCGCCTGATTGAAGACAGTGAGCTTTGGAAAGACCTGGACCTTCCGGGATCCCTGCCAGAGATCAGCGACTTTGAGCTGGATTCCGAAGTGGCTCACTTGGATAACATCCTGCACGACGACGGCAGACCTGTCGGAGGCTTGCCAAAAGCCACGCAAGTGCTTACGGGCAATGGCGGGAACTGTTATGCTAATGGCACCGGCCAGCAGCATCATAACATGCTCCACCCTCCTCATCAGCAGCATCACCTTCTTCAGCACCAAGTTCAGCACCAAGTTCACCCCCAGCATCAGCAGCCCGCATCCCTTCTCTCAAGCGTCGTCATCAAAGAAGAGAACCCCGACAATCCTTTCGCCCACATCCGTACTCCCAGTATGGTCAAGCAGGAGAAGCAGGAGCCTGTGTTCTGCCAGGCACAGTGTCTCCAGGGAGGCATGGGTTCGGTTCATTTAGGAGCCCCGATGTCCTCGTCGATGAGCGTGGACGCGGCTGGCTATCGCTGCAGAACCAACGCTCCCTCCACTATGGGTCAACAACCCCGGGAGCCCTTTGCCATGCACTCAAACCTGTCCTCGTTGGGGGAGAGCTGGATGCGAGGGGACGGGTATGGCGAGTCCACCGCGATTCAAAGGACTAATGATGGGCTTCCCAACACGTCGATGTTGATGTCATACCCGCTCAGCTTCTCCAGGTAAGTGATATTTTGTGTTTATTTTAACTTTGCTTCGTATACTTTTGTCTGTGCCGGTTTTGTTTGGCAAGTTCTTTGCTTGTTGAGCTTCACTGATGAGGTGATATACTCCACCAAGTGTCTGTTGACTAACCTTTAAATTTTTCTCAAATACTGAATAAGAATGGGGTTGGGTTCTAACTCTAGACAAATCAGATACAATTTGACAGATGCTCGATTAAATGTGGTCTTCTGGTTAAATTTCATATCACTAATAATTAAATATAGATAAGGTACAGACTTGGTTCTTTCTGGCATCCTACATACATATAGGATTTAACAGTGGCCTGAGTATGAGAACATGTCTGCATTGGAGTCTTATGTGATGAAATTTGAATTGACGATTAACAAAACGCGGGTCAGTTCGGGGTGGAATTTGGTTTTCCACCCGTCATGCAAATTGGATGAAATTAGATAGCGATACATGCATCGCAACATATTTAGTTGGGTTTTGCATGAAACATAAATTGGTATTAAATGCAGAGTCTGGATCATATTTGGTTATGCATCCTGCATCTAAAATAGATTAAATTTGACATCTGAACTTTTTCTCGGTTAGATTTTTGAAGACACGTTTAAATTGGGATGAATGCTGGTTCTTGATCCAGTCTGAAATAAATGTACTTTTCATACCCTGCATGCAAATCAGATTGAATATGATCTGAAAAAGGTACATTGCGAGTTTTTGATAAAACCCTTATTCTGATTGATCTGGATCTGATCTGGATTCAGTTCATTTATGTCCCTGCGTATTTACTCCATACCTGGCTCCCAAAAGGTAACAAACATAACAACATAAAGATTTGTCTTTGTTAGTGCTGTTCTATAGAACGTCAATCTGTCTAATACCTCTCTGACAGGAGCAAATTTATCTTTGTAGAAGCTGTAGTTATGAAACAACATGGATGACATTCGACTGTGCAGCTGTATTATAGCCTTTTGACTTTTATCATATGACTTGTACAAAATAGATTTGAGACATGAGGTTCAGAGGTTAGGAAGTAGATATATTTCACTTTGCTGAAACCTCAAACAGATCTCCGCCGCGCTGCTGATGTCCCTTGAAGAGCGGTCTATCTCGGCACTTGACTCCCCCACAGGAAAGCGTGAGTGTGCATTTGGAAAAGCGAAAGCGGTCGGCTCCTTTGACCGCTTTGAGGCTTTGGCCTCTTCCGCTTTGACTCTTCGCACAGTGACGCTTGCTTCAACACATGCCGCTCAGCTTCCCGTTCTATTTTTGTTGTTTTTACCCTTGGACGTGTTGACACAGCACGGCAAGCATTTCGGTACTCTCCTTATTTCTCCTTATCCTCATTCTTAGATTGAAGTGAGAAGCCAATAAATAGTGATTTTTAAAAAAAATCATGAAAAATTCATTCACTACCAAAGTCTTAATGGATAAATTCATTAAGTGGGCCACAGACGAAATAAATCGTATGTCTCAAAAGTGACTGGATGCTCATCATATTCTCATCAAGTTTTGGGTGTCTGTCAAGATGAAGCTGCCTTACAGGGCTTTCCTTTAACCTTTGATTCAACATTGACCGAAGCACGTCATGTTTCAAAGACCTTGTTCCAGTGTTTGCTGTTTTACTTCATTCCTCCAGGAAGTATTGAACTCTTGTATTTGCTCGAGTGTCTCCAAGTTTGGTATTTTTGTTGATGAAAGTGCTGGTTTGTATTTCGTGTTTTGCTTTTCGAGCTTAATTTGCTGTATGTGCCACTGCAGCTCAACTTCTGTGTATCAGTCAAGATTTTTATTTTATTTTTTTGACTTGTCTCCGACAGGTATAACAAGCAAAAATTTTACCCTTCTAGTCTCATTTCAATCCACGTGTGTGGTGAGAAAAACTGAGCTCCGCCCGGCAAAACCGATAAATAATCACGCTTAATTAGCTAGCTACTTGCAAGATTAGCTAGGTACTAGCTAGATTGATGGAAGGGTGGGTAGATGGATAGATCTGCACTGTTTTATTGTATGTACTGATTAGCGTTAGCTAATAGTATTAGCTTGTGAAAAGCAGCACTGTTGAGCCTATTTGAATTCTATTTGTCACGAAAACAAGCACGTCAGCAGTCGCCTAGATGAATTAAAACACATTGTCATATTTGAAAACCGTTTGTCACGAAAACAAGCACATCAGCAGTCGCCTCGATGAATTAAAGCGCATAATCATTCAGGATCTGCGTTTTGACATGTGATCGCTCCACAGTGTACATTTTCCATGGAAATATGTGACTTAATTTGTTACAGTCTACTACTAATAATTTAATTGGAAACAGCAGATTCAGATTTGCTGAACACCATTGCCACTAATGTTATATAAATAGGAATATATTTTGTTTGGTGTAATGCAACAGTCTTTGTCGATTTTAGTTAAATGTCCCCATATAAAGTGCCCTTTCAGAACAAGATTGTTTTTACCGCCAGTCTTGCAAAGGAATAACCTGATTACATTTAGATACACCTGTGGATGTTTCTTCATTTCGGTTCTTATTTCAAACATTTGTGTCAATGAATGCATCCATCTTAGAAAGTTCATGCACATGCAGGAGGTGGGTGTTTAAATTGGCACTCATCCCAATTAGAGTTGTTTGGCCTTTCTACTGAGTGTGGTTCATGTTAGTTAATGATTACTAGCTGCTCCTTATTTAAAATTTTACAGCTTGTGTGAATATTAACAGAGTGAAAGTGGTTTGTGTTGGTTATATTAACAAGAAAAAGCATGGGTCGACCTCATCTCTTAGACATAATTTGCCTGCATAAACTTAAGTTGGTGTGCGTCCGTGGCTGCGTGTGCATGTGCGCAGGAAACCGTGCGATAGCTGAGAACCTTGCGCTGCGGCTCGGTCAATAATTAAACCCGTCCAAGGTTGTGGTCCGTGCACAGGCAAACGTTTATCCCCCTAAGAGGCTGCTCAGTCGTGCACCTTATATAATCGCGACAAGCTACGACAGCTGGTTTAAGGTTGGGGGCGAGGGAGCGGAGGTTGGTGGTTGAGCAACTTGATAATGGCCTCATACCCTCTTGGTCAAGAAAGGGTTAACATGATTCAGTGTGGGCTGTGGCTTTGCAAGGCTTCCAGCTGACCTACTTCTCCTTCTGGGTTGACGGTATGGGCCGCGAAATGACGGGTCCACGCTCAACCTGACAACTCAAGTTGGCCTGACTGATAATCAATGCTGAGATCAGTTTCAAGTCAGCAAAGAGTATGTGAGGCATCTGGTTGTGTAACAAACCCTCTCTGGAATCTTTAGGAAGCCATTTAGGGCTTGATACAGCAAAAGCAGCACTACGAAGACCTGGAAAAAGTGATTCGTCATCATCTAGTGTGTTTCTTACAGTCCGGTGGCTGGAATATACCCCACCCCATCGGTGAGGCCATTTTCCACGCCATGACAACGAGGCGCTGTAAAGCGGCCGAGCCAGCTCCAGGCCCTGATTCTCCCCTCACTTTTCCGCCTTCTCTCCATGACGTACATGCACCTACAGACAACGAGGCACTCTAGAGCGGCTATGACAGGAGGGTATTTGAAACGACATTATCTCAATGCACGTTACGATCGCATTAGGTAACCGCTGACGTAAGAGCTCAAGCTCCAATAGGTGGTGAAGGGCGACTTCAATGTACATCCTGCGGCGTAGTTTTGACCACATCCCAAAAATCAGGAAAACTGAAACGGATTAAAAACGTTTTAATGCTATCACTCCACAAATGAGTATGTCATAGTTCTCAGTCTGGTGTCAAATAATTTTGCTGAGCTTTGTAAAGACAAACAACCGGACCCACACTGTGTCAAAACGGGAGTGCAAAACATTCCCAGACAGCAGGGAGATGATTTGATCTGATTTGATTTGGAAATGAAACAACCATAAATGAAATAATCCGTTAAAAAACTATGACTGTACTTTCAATGTAATAAAACCAAATGGTCTTTATCTTGAAACTGAATCGTGTGATATTTAATACCATGCAAGATCCAGAGTGTTTCCTTTCTGTGACTGACCTTGCATTGACTGAAGGCTAAGTCATTTAATCCGCCACTTTGCTTACCCGCTTTTCAGCCCGTCATGCGGTCATTCTTGAAAATAGCAAGCCCCCGTGTCTGCGCCACGTCTATTCTCATCATGGCTACCGCTAAGGCTAGGCTACTATTTTTAAACACACTCCCGCGTGCGATGAAAATACTGAAGTCGCCTGTTACCGAGTGCTAAATCTATGCTGCTAAAATGTGTAATACTTTTAATTAATTTTAATACAGTCTAATAAAGTCTATTTTTAAAAATACTTATGCTTGGTATAATGTACTTCACCTAAGATATAAAAAAGAAAATCCTACACATACTGTAGTTAGATGCACATTTTACAATCATTTCATTTCCAGTAAAAAAGAAAAAACAATCCCTTTTAATCAGTATCTGTTACTTGGTGTTAAACATGCTGAACAGGTTCGCCCGTTTCCAAAGATAAATAACCCGTCCAACATTACAGCTGCCTCCCCCCCTCCCCCACATACTTTTCAGCTAAGCCTGTGTCACTTAACGTGATGAGGAGGACGATAAAGCGAAACAAGGCCGGTGTGATTCTGAAAGGAAGTATGCCAATGTGAATATGAGAGCATTTTCTTGCATTCTTTTAAACATTGAGCTCATTAGAAAGAAAAGGTTATGTCTTCTCCTAATTTAAATATAAACATTTATATCAGTATTAAAATAATGTGTCCAGGAAGAAACTATTTACTTTTGAGGTTGTCATGCAGGATTTCATTCGGCATGGATTATTTGAGATTGTTTGAGTCACAGATTGAGTTAATTTTTTTCTCTCATGGCACCACTGTATATCAAGAAATGACTGCTTGGGAAAAGTCATCCCCTGCTTGAAACTGTACTATTATGACCCAAACTGGACCGTATTGTATTGTGGGAATTTGGCCTCTGACGCCCCTTTTGCATCAGTTT